AGACAGGGATTTGAGTGAAGCACTTCAACCTCATGAAGCGCTTAATCAATGGGTTATAATAACCTCAGACATGGTTTATTGATAATCTCAGCGTCGACCAGCGGGTGAAGACACTTGATACACTAACAAGTACACAGCGGAACATGACGGAAGCGCAGCCACTCACGGTCCTTAACCCCGCGGTTTGAGCCACATGCTGATAACCAATTACAGAGCTCTACACATTCATGAGTCCTTGCAGCTATTCATTCAGACAATACAAGTGGAGGACAGGTTTCTTTATCCACTGACTCATGGACCACATACATGTAAGGACTCTGCAAAGGTTCTTGAGCTAATCACATGGAAATTAATTATCGCTTCAATTTATAATGGTACGTAACGGTTAAGAAAGGCCCACTTGACGGACGTAAGAATGCAGAGTTCACCTGTAGGGGGAATATTACCCCTCTGCACTAGGAATCGGTTTAGCAGCTGAATGCTGCAGCTTGTCTGGTGGCTCTGTGAAGGGATTATATACTAGAGCAGCTCGTTGCCATGGTAACAGCATCACCACATCACCACAGCTAGATTACTACAGGACAGAATGCACCCAGCAACATATTTTTATTTTTCCAATAGTCTATTAAACCCTAACACACTTATAGTTTAGCGAATCTACTAGAAAACAATTTTTGAAAACAGACTGTTAGAATCTTTACTTTTGTGCTGTTTTTCTATTTGATTCATTCACAGTTTTTTTTCCCCTTCTTCAGTCGCTACCTTTATGCACCGCGGGTAATCTGAATATGTGATTTGGCAAATGCCCTGAATAACACATCTGTCCTCATAATTCTGGGGTAAGAGCCAGTAACAGCATGTAGAGCCGTGGAGCCAGAAATGAACAGGAAGAAACATCTCCAAAATAAATCTCTAAAATACATATATAATATAGGTTTAGAGCTGGTTACAGCCACATTTTAAACTTTTCTACATTTGCCATTGAAACAAATATCATCTTAAAAAATCTCTTAAACACAGTGAACAGAAACCTCTAGGAATTGGTGGATTTGGACAAGTCCCAAAACACTGTCACAGTGATCCCAGAGCTGTTATTCCAATCCTATCCAACCCTTTTATGAAAGGAAATTAAGACATATTTCAAACAAAAAAAATAATTCCAATTGCCTAATATTAGAGTAAACTATCTGTTTGAGAATTCTTGCGTACTATACGTAAAATTCGTAAAAATAAGTATTTGTGTCTTTAAGTTGGCTTCAGTTTAAACTGTGATAGCACTCAGGGAACTGTAAAAGTACTCTTGTGTTTTACCACAAATCTAGGAATGACAGGAAGCAACTTCTCGGCCAACTTCAGGGACTGTCGTTTAATGGATGTGTTTAAAAGTTCTGCCAGGTCATGTTTTAAATGCAAACAAAACTATGTTGAACACGGCAAACATATGAATTTTTTATTAGTTTCTAGTTTTCTAAATATAACCATAAAAATACTACGGTGGTTTAAATTAGGTTAAAGTGCTGACTGCTACCACAAAACCAAAAGTTCACAGTTGAAAAGAACTGTTACTGGTCTCCAGCTGCCTATGTAATTTAGCTTTTTCACCAACTCAGTCTCCAGCTGTTCACTCCACCACCCACCTTCTTCCAAATCTGCCATAATCACTTTATGAAATGACACATAAACACAACCTCAGCAACAATCTTTGAGGTTGCTGTGGCTCTCCGGGGACACTTTCCTCTCAAAACTGCAGGCTAAGGTCAAAGTAAAAGTGCAGTCAGTGATATTCTGCACATGCTCATTAAAGAATATTAAGGATGGATGGCTAACTAGCTTGGGGACGCGCAGCTGTAAAGGGTCAAACACGTTCAGCCTTTTTTTTTTCTAATCCTTTTGCTACAGAGCGGACAGACACTGGTGTTAAACAACAGAGGGAACACCGTACAGAGTGGGGAGATTGATGGAAGTCCATAAAAAAGAGGACCATAAAAGAGAAAGCGCAGCTTTACTCATGAAAATGAAATTCTTTAATACCCTGTAGACGGTTAGTTGTAATTGTAAGCAACATAGTTCATGAGATACTACAGGTATAAGAGAACTTCAAAATATATACAGTATATTTTAAAAAAGTATATCATTACAATTTGCGATTCCGTTATTATTATTTTATTACAAATTCAACAGTATGGAACGTAAACTATTCTGTCATTTATACTGTCTAACAGTCATTCAACAGTATGGAACGTAAACTATTCAGTCATTCATACTGAACATTAAAGAACATTGATCTGTTTTGTTAATATTGCCTGTTATCAAGACTTTTAAAGTGTCACAGCTCGAAATTACAGTAGACCACATTTTATACAATCACCCGCAAACACGTTTTGTCGAGACCTTAGGTTTTAGACCTTCTTTTTTGGAATATCTCAGGATTTTAAATGCTGCAACACCAGTTTGATGAAAGATATCTAAATGTCCCAATTTCTGAAAATATGTTCTTTACTACCCACTACAACCTACTCGGCGTCATAGAGTGGAGGGAAGTGGCTGCAAAACCACAGATTTATCTGTGGTTTTGCAGCATAATTTGAAAAAGAAATTCCACTTCACAGTATCCATTATTTTGAATGAAAAATTCTGCATCTGTATCACCTGCAAGATTGAAGGAAATGGACCATGCAATTCTTTATAGCAGGAGAGTGAAACTAAAATCACAGGGGAAAAAAACAGTTTAATCATCATAACAGTTTTGTTGTTCTGAATATTATTATTTTTTTGCTTTATGGCTGCATTATGCAGAGGAAAACAACAGCTTAAATTACATGTCAGCTTAAGGAGGATGTGCAAACAGCTCTGCTTTGTTCAAATAAGGCAGCAGGACCCCACAGTTTGGTACCAATAATTCTGCTCAACTCAACAAGTATTTTTGTAACAATGGAAAAAGATATGGGATTGAACTGTTGTACGAGAAACAACACAGCTAACCAGAGAAATCTGCATATTGGCCGAACTTGACAAAACCAGAATTCAACTCCAATCCTGATCACATACAAACATTAACCTTAACAATGTCTGCTAATATTGGTAGAGAAAAAAAACCCCAAAACTATTAGTACTTAGATAGTAATCAAAGGGTTTAAGAGCTGCCTCCCTGTTAGAAAAACAACATCCCACATGAAATAGTCCATAATACTTTTTTCTCACAAGTAACTTTCCTGCCATTCACCAGATTCACTCCTTATTCTGAGGATTCAAGAGGAAAACATTTTAAATTTTGAAGTTTATCTGAGCTGAATAAAGCTACATGTCAAAGGAACAATTAAATGTCAATCGAAATAATGACTGAAGATTGAACAGCTCTTTGCTGGAGATCAGCACATATTACAAAATCTGGCAGGCTTTTAAATTTCTAGGAGTAAAAAGCAGCAGTGGGTGGGCAGTGAAGGGGTCAGGGCTTTGGTTTTGAATCTGCAGATATTAGAATTTTCTTAAGATTTCAATGTGATAAAGTCATTGTTGGTTCCAAGTAGGTTTAATGCCACACGTTCAGCTCCATGACATCACCTGGTTATCAAATCAAAAAGCAATGGCTTAGTGTTGCACCTTCTAAAAATAAATTTTTAGAAGGAAGCAATGGCTTAGTGTTGCACCTTCTAGAATTAGCAGAGCAAAATAAAACCAGCAAGTAAGTGAACTATGGAGGAACTGCTGTATGTAAAGGAGGAGGAAAGACGTCTGTGTGGAACATAAAAGAAGTGGAGAGTAAGATGAGATCATGTCGAGGAGGAACAGACACATTTTGCTCTGCTCGTTTGATGCTCCATTTAGCAAAAACACAAATAAAACCAATCTCTGTTGCAGCTTTGCTCAAACACACACACACTCACACAAAAACATGCACACATGCGACCAAGCACACACACACAAACACACATAGTCATTATGGAGTCTCATAAAAAAAACACAGAAAGCCTAAAATAGACTGTGTGTTTCCTCCAATTCCCTACATCTGTGCTATGATTTATGTTGTGTTTCCTTCAGTGGCTGAAACATTTTCTCCTGTGCATTATGAAATCTTACAAGAGCTGAGCCTCCACAATTTTGGTATACGTTTATTATACAACTGGCAGTTGTTTTCACACTATATTAAAACCATGGTATGATAGAAAACATGGATTATTGACGCAAACGTATCATAGCACCTGCTATTCACCTTGGGGTGAAACTTGAGCAGAGTTTGAGCAACAAGGGACACAGTGAAAACTCAACAGTCGTAAATAGTAAACAGACACATTTGGATGGCACCACCTAGTTGTAAGTCCCGATGTTTCGTACTCAGCCTTTTGAAGTAAACCAAAACACAAATTGTACTGCTCCGTGAATAATTCTAAAATCTCAAAATTTAATGAAAATTATCTGCAAAATCCTTTTGATTTTATTTTAAACTTTTACTCTACTGCTCTCTGAGAAACATGCTAAAGTACTCTTTCTGTAATACTACTGCAATGTCAACAGTATCACTGACACTTTATGAAATGTTTTAACAGACCTCTCCCTCATCACTGTGTCAACCTTTGAGACCTGAAATATACGAACGGACAAATGCACTGTGTGGATAATAACTTCACACGTGAGCGCTGTAGTTCATAAACCAGGACAGAAGCAAAACTTTTTGAAGCTTTGAATATTTACTATTTTATAATTTTCAAAGTCTGAAAATGCCCAACCAAAAATACTACTGTTTTTACAGAAATCTAAAAACAAAGCCTCAAGGAGCCACAGTTCAACAGCAAAAAGCGCCTTCACATCTAGTCATAACTTCACTACATATAATCTCATGAAAACCAATTACAATTTGGATAGTACTACAATGTTTCAAGAAGTGTCAAAACAATCCAACCAGGGTCACTGCTCAAACCACAGACCACACAGACTTCAACCCATTTGTCTACTCCAGGCAGGAGAAAAAGCTCGTTGAAAAAAAAAGGTGACACAGCTCTTACCTCAATTAGGAAATCCCCCGTTCTGAGACCAGCCTGCCATGCCACTCCTCCTTCATCCACCGACTCCAAGTACTGCAGGGCAGGGAAGGCGGGTGTGGGAGTAAACTCCTCGATGGGCGTGTCGGCTGAAATACACAACAAAAGTTTTGAGTATCGTTCTTTTAGCTTATCTTAAAATAATATTTTTATATATTTACATATGCATAAAACAGCCTTCTGTTACTGAGAAGAACAAAAACTGTTAACATTTTCCTGCTCCATGCTTTATCAGTTTGTGAAAATGGTATTAGAACAAACCCAGTGAAGGGCCCTAATTTTAAAACTTCACAGCTATAAAAAAAAACAACAAAAACTCTTATACTAGAATCTAGATAAGACTGAGTGATGCAGAAATTAATTCTTAATACATTTTTTGTTAAGATCAACAAGTCTTTTATCTGCCTTTAAAGCAGCACTGATGAAGAAAGTCTGTAATTTCTGTCATCAAGAATACCGTCGTGTTCTAACAGAAGCCTTATAAAAAACAATTATCTTTTCCTACTATCTAAATAAATACCAATCTATCTAAGCTCCTTCAGTGGCTGCAGCCTCACCGAGTCTGGCTCTTAGGAAGGTTGACAGAAAACACTGCAGTTGCCAGAAGCCAGTGTCGACAAATGACACATCCTAAAACTCACATCTGGAAAAAACACTGTCCTCCAAATATAAATGATGCTATTTACATGACGGAGATGATTTTGTTTCTCTGCACATGTGTTTATGAGTATGTATGTGTGAATGTAACTGAAGGGAGAGATGGCAAGACAAAGAGAGAGAGACTAAAAACAGGGAGTAACATGGAGAAAAAAGTCGACGTGAGCTTTTGTGACAGCGCCAACATTAATGTGTGTGTATCTGTGTGTGTGTGTTCAACCCCATGCATGAAAAGCTCAGCTGGGTCAGTTCCCCAGGGGGACAGCAGAGTGCCTGTGTGTTCAAGTGTGTGTGTGTTTCTGTATGTGCATTCGAGTATCAGAAGGACTCGAACATTCCATTTGTTTTTCAAACCAAAATTTCGTTAAGCTTCCTCTCTTCTTTTTCGCAACTCATAATATCTCTCCATATGATTTTATATATGAGGGGAAAAGTGACACGAAAACATGAATGCAAGACATTTTTTCGCTGGTGGTGCAGAACCAATCACACAGCTACTTCCATTCAAATGTAGATTCTGACATAAACCAGCATCGTCACAAAAATCCAACACAAGATGTGTGTTCAAGTCATCATTATCAGCATCAGCAGCATCAGCAGCAGCAGCATCAGCAGCAGTATACCCTGGCTATTTTTAGAGCCAATCACATGTCCCGGTGAGAAATCAAACTGCCTGGACAGGGAACTCATTTCACAACAAGTCATGATGCAGAAAAAAAGATGTAAACCATATGGGTAATCAGATGTCAACTACTGCCCTGGCAAAAGCAAATGACAAGATTTTGACTTATTCTCATATCATAGTGTCGTAGTATCAAATTTAATCTACTCTCCTCTATAACACCCAAACTGGCAACTCACGGTCTATCCCAAGACTGTACATTCACAAAAATATAATTTTAGGATAGTGGAAGAAACTTCTGAGAAAACTAAACCCAATGATTATAACCATTTTACCGATGGATTTTTTAAGTAAACCTTTAACAATTCCTTTATATGTTTAGTTTTACAAATTAAAACATGTAATCAGATTGCCAGTGTTTGGTGAGCTTGTTAATATTTGAAAAATATGTCGGGCAACTTGTAC